CTCCGGGAAATATTCCTTCTCTTTAGCTTGCAAAACGAATAAATGAAATGAAAACTGGGATGAAAAAAGATGTTGTATTCTACTAGAGAGAGAGAGAGAGAGAGAGAGAGAAAGAGAGAGAGAGAATATTTCTTCGATTTTTTCGCAACATGGAGCGTGGAAAGGCGTTTAAAGGAATTTCGCGAGATAATCCGTGTAAAACCGGAAAGCGAAGATTGAAGATCATCGTTCGATATTAGGGGGTTAGTGAGGGGAGAAGGAGGGAAAGGAGGCTCCCAGCGTCTTCTTCTCGTGCTCATTTTGGCATAATGAAAAGCTTAGCAGTTGGTTTAACTTGGCCGAGGATTAAGTTTACCTCGTTCCAAGGGTGGCAGGGCAGCGTGGAATTTCTACCTCTTATTTTTCCGCTTCCTCGCCCCTTGCGTTGGAAAAGAGCGCTCGCTAGGTATTTCTTAATTAGCGGCAAGTATCTCGTTCCGCGGAAGTTGGCTTATTAATTAATATTACAAAAGTGAGTCCGGATGTCGTGCGGAGAGGGTGGATCTTTTAACGATTCCACATCTTTCCTTACACCGATTTTCATTTATCACAACGCGGTTCCAACGTGATTTACGAAACGGATTTAATTGCTCGTCTATTTTTTTCTTTTCTTTTTCGTTATTCTTCATACTTTCGTATTCTATCTCGTTCGTTGGAACGATCGCATTCCTTCCACTCGTCACTCTCGAAACAATACCGTTTAGAAGGGGTTGCTCGTGGGGGCCGGGAAAGAAAGTTTCTCAGAGACGCAGTAAGACACTGGCCGAAGACCGGGTTGGGGTGGAATAAAGGAAAAGAAGCGAGAAAAAAGAAAATGGTTATTCGAGCAGCTAGCCTTATATACCTCGACAAAGAATACGAAAGAATGGTTACAGCCGAGGGAGAAGGAGGTGTAGCGTTGAAGTGGGTCCCGGTACGAGCGAGAGGAGAAATATGTAATATCACCCGGGGCGTTTTAATAAACCGAGTTGGCCAATCAAAGCGGGGAGTTTAAGGAGCTTTCTTGCCTTTTAACGGCCACTTTTACGCGCGTTTAAATCACACTTCGCGCCACTCCTGCCCGCCTGTGGAATAATAGGGGGGGAGGGGAAAAGGAGAAACGGAAAAGTGTGCAACTGTATGGCGAACGGAAGGAAGGAAAAAAATCTCGAGGAAGGCGTAGAAATATTTTTTATGACCGAACGGCTGTGAGATTGAATGAGAGAGGGGAGGGAAACGCGGCAAACAAAAGAGAAAGGACGAGGAATGGAACGGGTGGAGGAGGGTGGGCCGAGAAGAGAGAGAGAGAGAGAAAAGAAGGAAAAGACGGAGAGAAGATTGGTCGCTTTTGTAACCGGTGTATGCACGATACGTTTAGGATGCCGGGTCAAGGGAATAAACGTACTCTCACCAACACCAACCGTGCGGTGGCGCGATAACGTATACCGACGGTGGGCGAAAACGTAAAAAAATGCGAAAACTTTCGCATTTCGTCTCCGGCCTCCATTTTTATTCGCATCGGTTTTTCACTGGGAGCATCGCGTCGCCCGGGACACGCGCGCTCATCGGCCGGATATTATTTCAGTCGGCGCATATTTCCGCAAATGAATTTTATGAAAACAGTTTTTGCTCTTTTAATTAATCGTTGTTCCGTCGCCGGACCCGAGCCACCCTCCCTGTCCCCGGCCAGGGTTGGTTGCCGGTCCACCACTCTTTTCGTCATTCCGTCGACTCACGTGGATCACCGGGCCGGCGCAAAGCTTTTAATAATAATATTGTTTCAAGGACCGCGAGGACCGCGGACGCGCACGTTCCTTCCCTTTTAATCACGTCCACCGGATGGAATACGATTTTCGGACGGTTACCGACCTTCTCCGTCCCTGCTTCGCCCGCGTATCCGTAGAAAAATATTACCAGAAGGGTTATTAACGTTCACCATTGTCCTTTATAAAAATATCTTCCTCGAAATTATTTTAAATCGACCAGGCGCTAGATGATCGACTTTTTTCAAGAAAGTTTCGTCGTGAGATAACGTTTTCTTTTCTTTCTTTCTTTCTTTCTTTTTTTTTTATTCCATTCCTACTACGTTTCAACGTGTTATAATACAGGCGACGATCGCCACCTCGAACCCAACCGACGAAACGTATTAAAACGTTCTCCGGTTAAGTCGTTCCACGGGTATCCGTGATCCACGCGCATTAAGCCGGTCCACGCGATTCAGCGAAAAGTTCCGCCTGTATTTGCGACCATGTAAATGTCGGCGCTTGTACCGACATTTTGTACAANCAGGAATAATCGTCGACCAATTAGACGGTCGACGGTGGGGAGGAAGGGGGGTAGAGGGGGAGGAAGAGGGGAAGGTTTTATAGTTAGGCAAACCTTTCGAGCAGCTAGGTGCGCCACGGATAATCGTGGCCATAAATAACATTTATCGGTAGCTCGTGGTCTAATTGCCAATGATTACCGTACGCCGCACGAGAAAAATTGCCAATTTACATCGAATGCTCGCTCTTTCCATCACCCTTTTTCCGCTTAGTTTACTTGCCCCAGACGTTCGATTCCAGATAAGAGGTTCCTCCTACGAAATCAGCCCGTGTTTTATTACCACCGTGATCCTTTCTTTTCCTTCATCGAATCACGTTGCACGCGTTCGCGCGCAATTCCCCCCCCCCCCCCCCCTTCTCCGCGCTATAAATTTATTAGAATTTCGATACATCGCGAGATCGAGGCGGAAACCTTTTTTTTTTTTGGCTGATCGCTCATCCTTCTCGATTTCTCATCCTAGACCGTCCGATTTTTTCCGTTTCTTTTTCCCCTCTTCTTTTCTTTTGTATCTCTTTCTTTTCTTTTCTTTTCTGTTCTTAGAGATAGGGCGAGGAGGGTTCGCGTTCACCACGGTGGATAGAGTTGGATCCCGCTCTCCTGAATACGCAATGCGATTTATTCGAAACGTGGCGTATAAAACACAAAGGACCGTGTATGATTGGTAAATTATTGAGGCATACCGGATTTGTCGGCCAATCACGTAGCGGTCTTAAATAATTCAGTGGAAGCGCGAGAGGATGGAGAGGAACCGGCAGGGAAAATCTCGAGGAAAACGGCGAGGATGCGAAGATATTACGAAATATTGAGTTTAAACTTGCGAAATCAATATCTTCTCCTTTTGGGATCGGGGAGTATAGGCATAACAAAGATAGAAAAGACGGATCGTCGTTAACATCGAAACAGTAATTTTATTTTAATTAATATTTCTATGGATAGAACTATGATACAAAACATATCTATACTAGCGAACGTACACACTTCCTTACGTATTCTCGTTCGAAGATTTTACATGCATCGTACATAGCGTATTTAAGACGAAATGGGCTAGGTGTCTTTTTTTTTATTTTTCTTCTTTCTTCCGACGTTTACGTTACGTTAAGCAGTTTGGATACGTACGTCGATGGAGCAGATACTCGATGATGCGGGTGACACGATAGTGTGACTAGAGATCGCCTACCGCAGTCGCTATTAATCGTAAATCTACGAGTGTTGTTTTTTTTTTTGCTTTTTGACGATCGATCGATAATCGATACGAGACGAACGATACGGGTTTCTCCGCTTCTTTGTCTATTCTTCCTTAAATTTTCGTCCCAGAGACGCTTAAAACGTTAGGAACTACGTTTCGCGCAATCGTAAAATCGTGGAGCATCGTGGAAGTATTCGTTATGCCTATAAAATATCGAACGAAACTATTCGAATAGTAAAAATTC